ACAAGAAATTTTGAAATATATTACAAATAACGTTGTGGGGCAAGTTCGTGTACGCACTGCCTAGGGGCACACTCGTGCATTTGTTTTTAGTTTTTGCGATTTATGACTTTATCTGTAGTAGGTTTCACTAATGACGCTCGCCTGACTCAGTTTTGGCTGCTTGGCGATTGCGACGTCGTGACAAGTAATTCACGCGACCTTGGCGAGGTCACGGAGGCCGGCAGTTGGCACATTCTTGTTGGCCAGCCCATTCTTTCTACATATGTTGTGCAATATATTCTTGTCAAAAGGTATCAAGTGAAATGACCCCCTGCCAATTTCTTTTGGTAAATTTCTGGTAATGCCCGGTAATTGTTTGAACTTTGCAGGGTGCACGGAAGTGCCCCACCTTTTGCACGAATGTGCCCCATAGGTGGGTCAGTTTTGTGCAGACGATCATAGTTATGAAAAGTCATTTTTTCTAATAGAAGCAATAATTTTAGAGGATAACTTTTAAAGAGGAAAATATCTGCAATAGTTCCTTTCCATACTACAATCAACAATTTTGCCCTTGCACTAACCAAAGAACAGATATATGGATTTATCCATTTTTTTGCACGAATGTCCCCCACTGTCCCATAGAGGTAGGGTGTCACTTTTCGTCGTACAAACCCATTTTGACCCCTTCAATCATTTTTGGGCATATCTCCCGACTTCTAGATGTCACATCAACTCGAAATTACCATCATTCGAACTTGCCATTCCCGCATAATGCATTTTCGCGAGGGCGTAGCGTAGCGAACGCAGTTCGCTAGTTTCGGTAAAAAAAAACACATTTTTGCAATCAGCTCACCGTCAGCTTTCGAATGGTATATTTCGTTTCTTTTGTGGATGAAATGGCTTTCCGACGAACCGTGGATACCAATGACGGGATCTCGGGAGGCAACCAGCACAGAAAATTGTGCTGTTTTAGTTCAGGAAGAATATATGTGACGGTAAGAGGAGTCAGGGGCGTCGCCGACGGGGGGGGGGGGGGTCGCGACCCCCCCCCCCCCTCTTGAGAACCGGGGGGGGGGGTCGACCCCCCACTTTTGGCGATGCTGAGTATGCCTTTTTGAGCTATCTTGTCAGTGAAGTTGGCGTCAGCAACATCACCAAATACAACGTCAAATTCAGAATCGCTTCAAGAGCTCCCTAGTCCCTATTGCTTATAGTTCAATAAGCTGTGGGGTGGAACATCAGCATGACAATATTTTAATAAAGTAGCCACTATTCTAGTCCCTTTTTATCCCTCAAAGGAGTGGGTGTGCCAAAACTGACCCAAGCGTTCGTCTGAACTCTGATTGTCAAAATAATGGTTGCAGTCGATTCGTCGGATGACGTATCAGCAACTGCGTGATACCTACCTACTGTTAACGCCAGACCCCTTGAGACCCTAATTTTTCGCGATTACTTTTAAATGCGTGAAGGAATTTCAACCAAGCTCAGGACATGGCCGTTTCAAGACAGGCCGAAACTTTTACAATTTAGATATTTTATCGCCATTTCAATATTTCAGGCACTTGTCATTGACTCGTAATGTTAAATTTCGAGCAAGATTTTCATCCGGTGTGTAGAGGCTATCACCAGTCAGTCTGTGATACGTTATGACGTCACAGCTAAGCCCCGCCTCTGTGGTCTTGGCCTGCGGCGGTTTCGGGCCGGCGCGCGGTCACTCTCGCTGTGGCGGGGAGCGGGGACGGGCGACGGTCGAGCGGTGCCGAAAGCCGGCGGAGTTGTGCGTAGCGTCTTGGCTGACAGTGCCCAGAGAGCGACATGATGACTAAGGAGTCATAAATGCTCAATGCGCATTGCTTCTACAATGCTGATATGTTCGCTGATATTTTTTTTTTATAAGCTGCAAATGACGGGCAGATGGCATAGGTATAACTGACATAAGGTTAGGAAATGTTCACCTGTATTTAAAGCCTATGGCGTTGCAGATAATGCGATAATGGGATGTCGGATGTCACCAAGTAGCTGCCGATTTGTACATCGCTATGCAACCATCGAACAACGCAATAATAAGTTAATTGCCTGAGCTTCACATCATACGGCTCGCTCGTATTTCAAACAGATACCCTACATCGAAAATCGTATTTGTTAGGAATCGTTAACGTTTGTTCGAAGCACGACTGAGTAGTAGGTTGAGGAGTGATGGTCCTCTTGGTCCTATATACAAGAGTCAACAAGAGCCTAACATTTACTTGACCGTCTGCTGCAATTGACTCATAGCACGTGAAGCGTCAGCGAAATTCATAGTCCTTCACAGATGGCAGGGGTGTCGTTTGTACAGAGGTCGCTGATGGGCACGGGTCAATGCCGCAGTCGTGGGCGGAGCCTAATGTCATATGACGTAGAAAGCCTCTATCCAGGATGGAAAAACAGTTAACATTACGAGTCAATGACAAGTGCCTGAAATATTGAAATGGCGATAAAATATCTAAATTGTAAAAGTTTCGGCCTGTCTTGAAACGGCCATGTCCTGAGCTTGGTTGAAATTCCTTCACGCATTTAAAAGTAATCGCGAAAAATTAGGGTCTCAAGGGGTCTGGCGTTAACAGTAGCCTCAGCCCTGGCTACCCTCCGACTTGCCTGCATAGGGGGAAGGGGGTCAGATAGTCTCTCGGGCTTTCCCAATAAGACGCGCAAAAGGAGCCTATTGCAACGAAACTTCCAGTGACCTCGAACTGATCAATTTTACAACTACTCTAAAATTTATTGGCCCTGATTCGAATATAGATAACCTTGGTTCAGTTTTTCGAGTTTTATTTGCTTCCACTTACAAGTGTAGTTTTTGGAGCTGATTTCGAGTTAAGCGCCCGTTTGAACACCAGAAGTAGTTTTGATAAATGGTGGTTATGTATCATATTACGAAGCTATCGGTGGTGGTTGTCACCCACTCTATATGGCCGGCAGGAAGCATGTTGGTCGACCTGACCTGACCCGACCCGATCTACCCCAAATGCATGGAGTCATCATCTTTGTTCAAAACTAGCATCGAAATCGTACTCGGGACCCCGATATTAGCTGCGGCTCACTAAGTTCTAGCAGGTCCCGATTTTCCCTTCTTTTGGGCGTTGACGTAAGATGACCCGGCCAAGACGTTGAAATTGGGCACCATCGGCTTTCTGTCATCACGGGCAGCATTCTCGCTTTTCTGCGAAGCTCTACTTCGATCAGGGAACGAAAGCATACCTTTAGCGTTACGTTGGTAAACATTTTACCTTTGCGATCCGTAAAACACGAATAAGAGCTACAGCGACACAGAAAGCGTATTCGATAGCTTTTTTAAAGCTCTTTCGCCAACTTCGCCTCAGATTTGACTTCGGGTCTATGGCTTGTGTACCACAGAGGCCAAACAGATAAGCGGACGGATTTTGCCGAAACATTTGTTCTGTGACAACCTATGATTCAAAGAATGTGTATGATATTCATGTTATCACCATTCACTTTCGTGTTGTTTCGTCGAAACGGGTCGCATGGCTTACAATTTGAACTTAAAAACTTAATTGCAAGTTAGTTAAAAAGTTAGTTATAGTTAAAAACTTAACTATAAAATTTGACAGGTAAAGGTCATGTCGACCTGACCGGAAAAAAACCTGCTGCATATGGATCGATCTGTGTTGCTGAGCTGAACACACTCCAGGCACGCTGTCATCGCTCTACAGCGTCTCCATCAAAAGTTGTCGAAAATGTGTTAGATGACCAAATGACTGACCATTCGAGTCATTACTGGTCATTAGCTGCACCTTGTCCCTAAAATGAGCATAGGTGCCATGGCTACAAAGGTATCTAGCTTTTTTAGCATATTCGTTCAAAACAGAGGGCATTCGTGCTTCATCCCATTTCTTATGATGATTAGTGAGGTCACATATTTGACCTGACTTCACTTCTCAGATGTAAAATCCCAGAGTCATGAACTGTTGGCACTTTAATCCCATTCATTACACCAAATTCAGACTTATAGGAGATAATCTATAGGAATGACAAGATTGCAGTTTTTAGAGGCTTAAAACTGAACTCGACATGACATTGTGATCTGACTTCAGGAGACCTGTGCTTGATTTCTATGCCCGATGCAAAAGTGATATGCAATAAGATATACCGCTGTTTTCGTGGCGCTGCGCTCCGAGGTTTTTCTCAACACACGGAAAAAACCGGGAGTGTGACTAAAAACAACCCTACCCATCAAGACGAAGACCGGGAACCCGACCCCCCCCCCCCCCACTTAAAAATCCGTCGCGACGCCCCTGAGAGGAGTAATGCACAATCTTCATCCTAGAAGCAACCATGTGCTATTCCTCCTCCATACTTTGCGCTACATTTTCTTTCTCCAATGGCCACCAGCTGGGGCATTCCACGATAGATCGTACCACTTTTTTCCAATTTGACACCCTCATCTCTCGGAATTCGACGAAAATTGGTCTCAGGGGTAATCAGGGGCTCTGAATCTACCTGTAACAATTTCAGACTTATCAGATAAGTATTTTTTTGAGTTATGGCGTATAACATTTTTTGGATCTTGCTTTGCAGCGCTAAGTTTGGCGGGCTGTAACTCTAAGACGGATTATTCAAATGCCAAACGTTAGATAACATTGAACTTGCAATGAAACAGAGATTAATATGTATTTTTGAAATTTCGAAAAATACGCTATTTTTGATATATGACATATCGAGTTTTCTTTCATTTGTATTTTTTGGACTTTGGGACCAAATTTTTTGGAATTTTTATTTCTTTACAAAAATATTTAGCTCATTGTTAAGAAGTGTGCAAAAAATTAGGAAGGTGTTCTTTCTATAAATGTATTTATTTTACGTCACGATAACGGTTTCGAATAGTGATTTTGGGAGGGGAGCTTACAAATGGCGTGGTAAAGCTGCCTAGTGACATCACGGGTTACTGAAATTTCAATTGAAGTCTTAGTCATCTGAAAAAATGGAAAGAGGGTTCATCCAATCCTCGTTCCTATAAGCGCGAGAGTGAAAAAGGCTGTTTGGTTCTGACATTGTTTTGGACGCCAATGACCATAGCTGTCCGAGATAAAAGTTACAGGACGCATACATGGTGTCCTCCAGAGGTCCCACAACTTATATATCTGGGAATTTTTGAAGGTCACATGAGTCACGTGACATCACTGTTATAAGTCAATGGGGAAATATAAAATCTGTTATTTTGGCGCCGATAATGATCTAAAATTATCTCACGTACATGGTATCGTGATTTCATGCACTCCTTGCAAAGTCCAATGCTTCACTTTTGCATTGTTAACCTTGCGTGACGTCATTTATGACGTCACTAGGGTCGTACGAGTTTTTCGTCAATAACTCCCGATCAAATTGAGCTAGACAGTCGGGAAAGCCACCAATGGACTCGGGAAGACCTTCCGAATCGAATGATATGCCATATGATACCCTTTGCCCAGCTTCGTGACCTGAGGGGCTCTGACCTGACCTTGACCCGAGGTCAACTAATTAAGTTGACCTCACCCTAACAAAAAGTATACCATTCGACGCACCTGAGCTAGGCGAACACAATGATGCCAAAATTGCGGCTCTGCGGCCATTTTTTGCGAAGTTATTTACTAAAAACCGAACCCGTAACTTCAGTCACTTGACCTGACCTCAGAAGCTACCGGTTAACCTGAGACCTTAAAATTGGGTACCAATCGCTGCGACTTGTAACGGCACACACGTTCGTTTTTTCCGCGAGGCTCTACCTCTATTAGAAGCAAAACGGCGTGCTGGGGTCGTATCAACCCCTCCGAAACCCATTTTGTTTGCGGGAAAATGAGGAACTTATAGAAAGAACACCTTTCTAATTTTTTGCATGTCGATTTGCAATGACATGAAGTTTATTTTGAAAAAATAAAAATGCGAAAAAATTTGGTCCCAAAAGTCATTAGAGGCAAATGACAAAAGATTAAGGTTTTTGTTCAACAATCAAAATTTTTCTTTAGAATTTTTAAAAAGTAATATCAATTTTTGGTTCATCGCAAGCTTAGTGTTGTTTCCCGTTTGTTGGTTGCATAACCCGTTCTTGAGTTATAGGCCATCAAACTCACCGTTACAAACCGAAGTTTAAAAAAATGTAATGCAATATAACTCAAAAAGTTTTGATCTGAGCAGTCTGATATTTTGCCAGGCGTCTTTGGGGCCTATGATTACCCCTAGGACCGATTTTCATTAAAATCTGAGAGATGAGGGTGACGGGCCTGGTACGATCTATCGTGGAATGCCCCAGCTAGCAAATAATAGCACAATTCTAAGTTGGTCATATATCGACACCTTTTTTTTAAACCCCACATCTGTTCTCCGTTGAATTTCCGGGAAGCACGAAAGATCTCTTTTTAGAAGTGTCCAATCGTCCGATCCTGATCAAATTTGTGTGTTCGTAAGCTTGCTCTGGCATTGCTTGATTTGCGAAGATAGACAAACTTGAGAAAAATCGAGTGACTGTACCTTTTTTGAAGGTTTCTAGACAAATTGTCTGAACTTCACGGGAGAACAAATGTGGGGTTTAAAAAAAAGGTGTCGATATATGTACAGTAGCAACTGGGGGTGGGTGCCTGTACTCGGTCCGGCCCTGCTGGGCGCCGCCGAGCCCTGGCTGTGTGCACCGGCCGACACTCTGTCCTGTGACTGCCCACAGTGGAGGCCATGAAGCGGGTGCAGCAGATCCGGCAGCGCCGCGAGTACCAGCACATCCGCAGCCGACAGAAGAGCGCCGAGAAAATGGAGCGCGACAAGGAGCGGCGCGAGGTGGCGCGCGACATGGCTCTCATCCGCTCACCGGCGGCCGGGCTGCGGCGCGCGCGCGTCACTGTGCAGCAGCAGAGCGACCAGCACATGGAGGAGGCCGAGCCCGACCGGCGCCGCCGTCTGGCCGACCGCGAACCCGAACCGGCCCAGAGCAGCCAGCACGAGCGCATGGTGGCGGAGGCGGTGTGACCTCTGGCGCGCACCGACCAGCCGTGTGCGCCGGCGCTGGCCCAGTGGGCTCGCAGATCAGATACTATCAACTTTTCGTGACAAATACAAAATCCAGCGGAAAAACATGCTGTTTGAATCAGCGCCGCAACCACCAACACGACACAATGTCTTTCTATTTCACAGAACATCCATACACATTACACAAGTCATAAGTCGCTATGTATTGTCTCCACAGCCCCTGCATCACAAGTGAATGTTGACGGAAGCGAGGGCCTCCAGTGCCCAGTGCGGGTAGTCGCCGTCCGGGTACGCCTGCTCCATGAAGGCACGTACGAACTGCGGAAACCGGTCCTGCAGGATGCTTCGGCGCAGCGACTCCATCAGACGCAGCTGCAATCATACAGAGTGCCGACAGTCAGACGCAGCTGCAATCATACAGAGTGCCGACAGTCAGACGCAGCTGCAATCATACAGAGTGCCGACAGTCAGACGCAGCTGCAATCATACAGAGTGCCGACAGTCAGACCCAGCTGCAATCATACAGAGTGCCGACAGTCACACGCAGCTGCAATCATACAGAGTGCCGACAGTCACACGCAGCTGCAAGCATACAGAGTGCCGACAGTCAGACGCAGCTGCAATCATACAGAGTGCCGACAGTCAGACCCAGCTTCAATCATACAAAGTGCCGACAGTCAGACGCGAAACAGCTCTCCCTCCCTCTCCCTCCTTCTCCGTCCCCGTCTTTCCCTCTCCCCCTTTCTCTCACTCTCCCTCCTTCTCTTTCACAATATGCTGTGTTAATTAATTTTGAATATCCTTTCGCTATATCTCAAATATTTCGACGCGAATAAGAAAAAAAAAACGTGAAAAATGTTTTAGATTCCATTTTATAGTGAGAAATGCCTCAAATCGAAAATATCGAACTTCAAAGTTTCAGCACTTGGATTCAGAGGGGCTAATGCATTAAAATGCCCCCTCTGAATGTGTGACGTCAGTGCAGATCTAACGATTTTAAATACCGTAAACGGGGGTGAATTTGCCATGTTTTCAACTTTAGACGCTTGTATTCTTTACACTTCTTAACTTGTTGGGATGACTCTTTGTTCAAAACACGGATGAAGATTAGCTCTTTTGGTTTTGCTATTATCGTACTTATATCTTGCTTAAAAATATATTTTTTTAAAGAAAATGAGTCGTGGCAAAGTTAAACTGAAAAAGGGGTGACTTTGCCACTATGTCAAAAAATGGTTTTTAACGCTTGCAAATAATTTTTAAGCATTTTTATTCCATTGTATGGGGGAGGGCAACCATGTTTAATTATTTGATAGGAAAAAATGCAGCAATTCAAAGTTTTTTGCTCTTAAATGATGTACAAAAAAGGAGAGATATGTTACTTTTATAATGCATTATATTTGTCGAAAATTATTGATATTGATAGTAAATAGAAACTGAAAAATGGTTCAGAATAGATAAATAAGCAAAACTATGATTGTATCGGTACTCTAGGACCGCGCCACATGCCTCCAGCGGCATTGAGAGGAACAGAAAGAAGACGTTCTTGCGGCAACTTACCGGCACCCTTATCAGCGTTTTGATCTATAAAATGATACCGATTTCTTCAGCTAGTCTTACTGGCAGACTCAGGAGTTGTAGATGATCATGACTGTGCTAAAAAGTTGGACCCAGCTTCATCCATTTTTTGAGTTTGGTAATTTTTGCCTTTCTATACTCCCACTGTGCATTCCGGTGCTAATTTTAAACGTATCAACTCTCACTTTTTTTAAAAACCAGTTTGGAGGTCAAAATGATGCTACATTAAAAATTGTTTTGAATTGCATCGGAAAGTATTCTATTTTTGCATAAATAACATGGTGGCAGTCACCTCATGGGGCCTGCTATTCACTTGGAAAAATCGCCACCAAAAATTTTAGCTAAAAAAAGTTGCCAGTTTTGTTGGATAGGTATGCTAACTTAACCCGCGCGGGGCTGGGGGGGGGTAAATTTTACCCCCCTCGCGAACTTTTGCGATATCTCAAAAACGGCGGCGCGCAGCGCCGCCAAACTTTCAGTACCTTTTCTTACATCAATTTGACACGTTCCCTGAAAATTTGAGCGAAATCCGTCGGAAAATTTTTGAGAAATTGACGTTTTAGTGACGTCATGTTCGCCATTTTCGCCTCAAAAACGGCAAAATTTCAAACGCCGCTAACATCTTCATTTTTAAAGGAATCAAGACGTAACAAAAAAGGTTATACGTAATTCTACTTTGTCTATCAAATGGCTATCTCGGTTTTTTGAAAATTTTGGATTTGATCCAATTTTTTCAATGACCTATGACGTCATACGTGAACCTCTGCAGTTCGGTCTTCATATGTCGCAACTTCGCAACGCCCTCACTGCCAGAGGAGCCTTCACAGGGTAATGAAACTTGCAGGATCTAGTATCCATTACGAGTCTCACAACTCGTATATCTCGGATTTTTCCTAAAGGTTGACCTATACTATACTGGATGTCTTCAATGACTGGTATACATCTGTCCAATTAATTTCGCCTAACCTATATCCCCATGCCCCTTCCCATATATTTGCAACTGATTTTGTTTTGCTTTCAACGAATATTCTTCTGAGGTGAGACGTTCCTTCGCCTTTTGCTATGATGCACGAAACGACGGGGTCTAGAATGGGTGTTTCTAAATGGGTCTTCCTGAGTCTATTTGTGTCTTTTCCGTCTAAGATCACTGTCAGCGCCAAAATAACTGTCTCTATATCCCCCCCCCCCCCATCGGCTTATAATGGCCAGATCACTTGACCGACCTGACGTTAGGTGACCCTTAGAAGAAATCCGAAGTTAACGACTTTTGAGAATAAGTGAGTTTGATAAGTTATGTAAGTTTCATCTACCTGTGATAGATCTCCTTGCATTGATGGAGTTGCTATGTTACGACGTGTTCGAGCCCGTGTAGAGGTTCACTTATGACGTCATAGGTCAGTGACCTGACCTGACCTTAAAATGAGGTTGGTGCCACAAAATCCGGCTTGAATCAAAGGTCAGGTATGCCAAGTTACAACTCTCCATCACCAGCGTGCTGACCCCTACATAACGTTGCAGCAATGGTTTGCCGCACATTAACGATAAAAGTTTTGGTCTGTCCGAGATTCGAACACAGGACCTTCCGATGTATCAAAAACATTGGGTCATATATGGACGAACATCTCGAAAACGGTTGGATGGGCTTGAACTTTTCATCCTAAAAATGGAAATAAAAATGTTGTAGCTATCTTTTAACATACTTTGTATGTGGATGCCCACACTACGAGACCTTGAAAACCGAGCGCGAAAAGTCGCATTTTAACACGCAACCCTATGGGCTAGTAGGAAAAGTCACGCCCATGCTGCCATATGACTTTGGAGGGGGCTGGTGTCGGCCTTCGTTGTCAAAGGTCAATGACCTCCCGGTTCTGATTATTTCCACTTAGTTTTGCAAGCGAACAACTGAGCCTAAAGCACGTGCCTTCTGCTCGGCACCGGTCGCGGCCCCATCACGTGCACAACGCTGAACCCACACACTCGAAAATTTAATACGATAAATGAGTACACGCGTCCGACTTGGCGTGAAAATTTCACCCCCGTAGCCCTTACCGTTTCCGAGCAATAGCCTGTTTTTGCCGATTTTAGTGCAAACCCTATGGTGCACATGAGCACGCGCCACGGGCGCACCCCTGGAAACATCGTGCCCAAAATTTAATACGACCTACACCAGGGACGAAAAATATTTGCAGATTCGTGGTCCATGGACATTTCTGAACTACGTGACACAGTTAAGCTAAATTTGGGAAAGGTCGGCAAATCCACCAATGTCGCGCTTATTCCGGTCGCGGTCCCATCGTGCAGTGGGGCGCGGGTAAAGGGCACCAAAAAATTTGCTTAAGTAGGTCAAAAGTCAAAATGACAGGTTTTCACAGCATTGGCGTCTGAGCTCAGTTGGCGAAGAGGCGATTGACGGCGTTCACCCAGAACGCATCCTTAGGGTAGGGAGACGATGTGCTTAAAATGCCATGCAAAGTTCAAAGTCAAGGTCAGGTCAGGTCAAGAAAGGTTATCACAAAGAAGCCACTGAACGTGCTATGTGCGATGCATGTTTTATGGGTCATTCTTCCCCTAGAATGCAATGGTGATACCAGTGGCGCAGCCAGCATTTCGTTTCGGGGGGGGGGGGGTCATCGCCTCCAAAGCGAGCCCCCTAGTGTACGGGCCCCCCACCCATTTTTCAGAATCTCTGCATATTTAATACGCATTCTGCTGAGCGGGCCCCCTTTACCTGCACCCTGAGCGAGTTTGAATCAGAAAATTTGGATAGAACAATAGCTCGGTAGTTAATCACCCGGTGTTAAATTTTTACGCAAATTGACCACCACAGAAATATGTTAATATGACGTATGTATTCGTATCTTTCGAGGCCGAAATGTGCCCTTCCGCAATATGCATAGCATATAATGCAATCAGAACTGTTGCCTGCTTCTGTCGGACAAGATTTAAGTAGTCCCATGTGCCTGTCCTAAGCCATATATTGGCTGCTGTAGTAGATTGTGCCTTTATTCTTCTTCATTACGTGAATTCGCTCACAAGAAGTTTTAACCCTCGCCGGCACAGGGGGAGGGGTTGATGCACCCCCCTAAGGTTTTTTTGCGAATAACTCGCGTAAAAAGCGGCTGATCGCGACGTAACTTTCAGTACCCTCGCGTTCATCAATTTTACACCTACCCTAGAAATTTCATGACCCTTACCCAAATGACCTTTGAGCTGTGACCTACTTTCCGAGACCATGTTTGGCCAGAATCGCGGTTCGGCATATGCCGGCTCGCATTAGCCGCGCGTTTGCAGTCCTTTCGTGGATTCCAGCGTTCAAACATGTGATGTGATGATGCTCCCATGCATAAGGGTGGATGTCAACGTCACCTGAAGGTCAGGTCAGGCCACTGACCTATGATGACCTCGGTACACTTTTTTCAAGTTATGCATGTTTCTAGACTAGCTTTTTTGGAGCTGAATTCCAATTTAACAACCATTTGAACATTTAAGAAGTAGTTCTGGTGCCTTCGTAACATATTACAAAGCTGTCAGAGGCGGTTGACACGTACAGGGTGTCCCAGAATTACCCGGACATTTATTTTCTGGCTAAAAGTACGACTGCGCTCGCTTCTAATGATATGCAAGCATCATACTTTTATAAGATATCCCTTAGCTATCGAGATTGGGGACTGTGTGCTTTTGGTGGCCGGTAACGACTCGAATCAATTATTATCCAGAGTCAAGTAAGAGTAGTCCTTTTCCGTTTTCAGCTTAAGCCACTAATAGGCAACCATGGTGAATCAACTCCCGTTCTCAAC